ATTACATCAGGTCAGTAAGTCTTTTTGATCACGCAATAACACATGTTGACAGTAATTTTGTGTTGTAGTTCCGTCCACATCTACAGTGTATTCAGGGGCGTTAATTTGAGTATACGTGTCCAGTTTACTCCCAAAAAATAAACGCCTCCCTTGAATATACATCGCCTCCCTTAAATAAACGCCCCAGGCAAACATTCTTCTTAACAATAAATGCGGTATATAATTATAGGCTTATAAACAAATAGATAAATAATAACAACAGTGTTGAAATAGGAACACGCTATTATATAATAATCGTATTAACAGCAGATAAGAAACACTCTAAAAAAACTTCCTATGTGTATGTGTGGGTGTGTGAAAATGCTATCGAAAGCGACTTGAAGCTAGGAGTCACGGACCAAAGATTTCCATAAGCAATTTAAAACACAATGACGCTGCGAGTTATGGATTTTCTCATACGTTTACCTTACAAAAAGTTTATAAGCTAAACTTCTTAATGCAGGCCTAACACACAGGTGTTTAAATAATATGGATTATTTTTGATTGATAAATACTAATAGACCGGTTGTATTTGTGGTGTAGGCCTACTTTCACTTTCTGCAGAATGTACTAGACCAAATTTGTTAAGGATTTTTGGGCTCAGAATCAGAATCAGGTGTTGATAGGGCCGGGGAGAGTCAAAATTTTCGAGATATTTTCGAGTGTACAAAAATAATGCTTTTTTAAATTGTAGTTCAGAAAATGTTGCCGACAAAGTAAACATAAACCACAATCTTGGAAGTAGTAGGCCTACTACAGGTTAAATGTCCAATAAGGAATATTTTTGGAATAGTTTTGGGCATGAATCTAACTCTGTTTGTTAATTGCGCGTAGGATCGGAAGTTTTCGAGATATGAATTGTCAAGTGTCAAATCTGGCATAATTAGCAGAATCCGAGGGTTTCAGATGTGCTAAGTGTATTGTTTCTATTGTAATTTAGGTCGTAGATTCCAAATAGTACCTATAATTGGGAGTCACAAAGGACAATCACATGTGATAAGTATATCAAATAAACGTTTTTAACGCTGATTTGGTTGTATGCCTATACTGCAAACACCATAATAATGACAACGATAATGATAATGATGATGATGATAACGATAAAGACAATGACGACGATAATGATAACAAAACAATAATAATAATAATAATAATAATAATAATAATAATAATAATAATAATAATAATAATAGCAGTAATAGCAATAATAATAATCAAAACGAAAAGATAGAGAAAGAAAAGAAAAATAAGCTTTGTTAAGAGATAATAAAAGATAAAGAAAATATAAAGAAACGATAGAAAGAAAGAAAATGAGAAAAACAGGATAACAAGAAAGAAAGGGAAATGAAAAGATAGGATGAAAAAGTTATGGATAAGACAAGAAAAGACAAGGAAAGAAAAGAAATAGATAGATCAGCTAAAACAAAAGAAAACAATATAAGAAAAGAATATAAGATATAAAATCCATACAAAACAATTAAAAATAATAATAATAATAATAATAATAATAATAATTGTCGCTTATATAGCGCATATTGTAGAAACTATAACTCTGATATGTATTATTAGTGCTTAAGTATTTAATTATTTTTATATTAATATACATTTAAAATACACTTAATGCAAATGAGCAGCTGGCAAAATAAAGAGAAAAAAACTATTGAAACTGTGATACATTCGTATAGTCATTGATCTTTTGCGACAGTTGGTATCAGTACCCGAGTATTACTTGTTTTTATTGCGATCATTTTCAAATATTTCCTATTATTTATTTTTAAATTTATGCGAAGTAACAAATTGTAGTCATCATCATCGTTATAATTGTCATCACTATCTCAAAGACCAGTGGCGCAGCACCTATAAGCCTTCACAGGTAAAACCAGTGGCCCCCGCACCTTAATGTTCTCCGCGACAGTAATCGGCATTATCTTTTGCCAAACCATGAACCTCTAATCGGTTAAATCGGTCAGTTACCTGTCATGTTACTGAAACAAAGTTTCCCCAAAATAGACGGACTGACCTTCACTCACGCTTTATCATCATTACCGAGCTTCTCAACAGCTGATCTTTATTATCAAGATTACATGTAAAGCTAGTACCGAACAGTCCATTTAAAATGCACGAATACGAACATGAATGAAACCACCAACCACCACCATGTTTTAAGGCACAGTTATTGTCTTCAATGAAATCATTGTCTCGGTCGTAGGTTGAGAAATTTTCACCGTGTTCATAATATAAAACGTTACCTGAAGTTTAAAAAAAAATTGAGTAAAAGATTTTGATGAAATGATATTGTTATATACACCAAGCAAATCATTAGATTATTCAATCATCATCGTTATTCATCATCATTAGAAAAAATAATCATTATTGATATTAAGCATCATCATTATCATTATCATTAGCAGCATCAACATTAATCACCGTTATTGTCTACTATCATCATTATCAAACAGCATCATCATCGTCATCGTCATCAATAAAAATCATCATCGAGTCGAGTGGCTGAGCTGTAAGCCAGGGGCACCGCCATCTACAGCCTTGATATCACTGTTCGAGCTGCTTCTCAGAGCTACAGTGGATCATGTAGGCCTATAGTGTAAACATTTGCAGTGGCGCCGAGAAGGAAAGTGCCCCGGAGCCGGCAGGGGCCCGGGATCCTCCACTGTAAAAGGAATGATAACTTTTACTTTTAATGTTTCTATACATAATTTTTCATGACCTGGTGAAATTAAGCACTCTATAATCAATTAAATTAGTCCTCTAAAGCTGCCCCGGCTCATACATGCACTTTAAAGAAACCATTCATCTTTGGGAAGAGCAGAGAGTTTTACCCCGATGCAATAATTCATTTCGGCCCCTTCGGTTTGGAATGATGTGAACATGTAACCATATAGAAGTTCTTTTTATGGCGGTTAGGTAGTCAGAGGCCACGCTCATACGCAATTCAGCACAATGACACACCTTCAATCTGTATAATCCATATTAAAAGTAAGCCTATTTCAAATTATGAAATCATAACAGATAACCGGGCCTAAATAAACGTCTGAGGTTCGAAACCTACCGGTATGAAAAACTGTACAACACAAATCATCAACGCAACGTCACGCGAAGTGATATCAATCCATGTTTATGATCAATTGTGGGAAATAATAAATTATACATATGTTTTTAATCATTAATCATCATAATCATCAATAATAATAACAATCATTAATAATAATAATAATCATCATCATCATCGACTGAAATATTACAGTAAAAATAATACCTGCATCGCTCTCTTTAGGCGATCCTAATTTCAGCTCATAGTTGTTACTTTCGTCCTTTATTCTGAATGAATCGTAGGTTGCTGTGAACAACTCTCCCGCTTCTGTATATAGCTGTATTTTGACGCTAAATGTTGCCTCTGTCGTCAACCTGCGGATGAACATGTTGCCCATCCACAGGTCGGTGTTAATATCACCGAACCCTGTCTTGTATTCCATCCAGGTTCTGTTAAAGTTGAAGTTATGATTTTCCCGTTTCTGCAAAACCTGAAATTCACATTTTGAGTAAGAAAAAAAAATTGGAATCACAGTAACATTTTAACAATATAGTAAATGAAACATAGACATATCACTTTAGAATCAAACACAATTAATTTGTTAAAGTTTTAATTTAAATCATTATTATTAATATTATTGTTATAATAATAATAATAGTTATCATCATCATCATCATTATTATTATTATTATTATTATTATTATTATTATTATTATTATTGCCATTGATATTAATTATAATAAAATTAATACAAATTGCAATATTATTGTTAGTTAAGAGTCCTAATCTTATCTTGTCAATATACTCTAAATATTTGGATTGTGTTATGTCAACTCCACTATTGTGATGTTTATGATGACAAAGCGATGCAAGATGGTACTTACAGTCCATCCTTCATTATTCGCTATTTCGCATTTCACAAGAAACGTTTCTTTTCCATCAGTAACCGGATATGTCCCAGAGGTCGCTCTGGGTAGATTAGCAGCGATCTGGCTGCAGTCTCTATACTGATAATGAACCAAAACACTCAGATTAGAAATTTAATTTAATTTATAAGAAATTAATGGAAAAAAAACATCAATTAAGATTTGATTGATGTATTGTTGACATCCAATTGGTTATAGATTCACTGTCTGTCAGCTAAAAACAAACTCTAACAATTAATTACATATTTGAATTGCTTAATTTGTATGTTTTATCCGAACTTGCAATTAAAAATCTGCATGAGAAATACAAATCCCCGCCTATATGGACATGATAATACTGTACCTTATTTTTATTTTTTTACATAGACCATGGACATATAAATAATTATTAATAGATGTATGCAGACCTAATTGATTTGACTGGTAATCAATTTTAGGATATTTGTAGTAAAGTATTTGTAAATCGTTGAACATTTTTTTCGATCTGTTTCTTTGGTTAAAGTTAATTTTTGGGCTTTTCTCCATTTTTTATCTATTTATTTATTTTTTGGCAGGCATTATTTCGTTAAACAATATGGATATAAATGCGTTCAAAATACGTAACTTACTTCTGTCTTGATAGAATAAAAGTCTGTGTTTCTACTTGGACGATGGGGGAGGCCCCAAATAGGCCAGAGTTTACAAATCATTGTGGTTCTTTCAAAGGAAATTGACGCACACGGAGGGTGGTGTCGTAGGCATAGAATGCAGCATCTGTCTCTTATACACATCTAGATGTGTATAAGAGACAGCCTGTACAAGAAATAATGATTCTGAAGTTTTGCCTGTAATCAGAGCAACTATAGGCCAGACAATGGGCAACGTTGTATTCTGTCTCTTATACACATCTAGATGTGTATAAGAGACAGAGTGACAATGTTAAAAAGTTGAGTCAAAATGTATTTTTTTTTTAT